GTGTGTGTGTGTGTGTGTGTGTGTGTGTGTGTGTGTGTGTGTGTGTTTCTCCCAAACAGCAGTCTGACAGAGACAAGAAGGGGATTTCTCAGAGAAGTGACTTCCTCTCTGCTCTGCACACAGAGCTGAAGGCCTCCCCCCTAATTGGGAGAAAAAAGTGTCATCAGACCCCAGCAGTTAATCACAGCAGTGTGCGGAGACAACTGCAGCCAGGCAGGACTCATCACTTCACAAAACAACACAAAGCTTCAACACATCGCGGCGAGGAAGTTCGCAACTCCCAGTCACATACGAGCTCTGTCACAGACACTGAGTTTTTACTCCTCTAGTGAGATCATTACAGAGAGATCTGTTATTCTTTGTCTTTTTTTTTTCTTCCTGTGTATCTCTGGTTACAGCTGTCTTCAAACATAAACGAGCAGGATCCAATTATGCTCATAAATATCTAATAAAGCCCAGCTGTGAAGGAGGAGTTTAGTGAGTGACACCTTGGTTATGCAGGAACACTAATATCAACACTCATGGCCAATATTTGGAAGTTCAGAGAATACTGCGTCTCATTTGGGGCCCGATTCATTATTTTAGTCAGTCGACATTAYAGAAGAGCCAGAAATGGCCTCGTCCTGTCAGCCAGTGAGATAAATTGCCTATTAGCCTTTTGGGTTTATGATAATTTTGTGCAATCAATCATAACGGGTGAATAGATGCCAAATGGGAGGCTTGTCTCATTAGGAATGATAAAAGCTTTGACTTATTTTTCTTTAAATATGTTGCAAGATGTTTCCAGCCATCGTGATTTAATGTGAAAATAAAAATAAAAACGTTTTGAACAGAGTTACGCATTAATAGGCAGCGCTGCGTTTCCATGGGAACTCCCAGTTATACCTGCTGACCACCAAATCACGAGAAAAAAAAGGGAGAAATATGACTCATCAATTCTGCTCTGCTAATCATGTTATAACAGATTTCAAGAAGACCCCGCAGCATGAGATTTGGCACGTTAAAGAGACAGCTCAGTTTTAAAGAGAGGGTCTGTGGAAAGCTATGAACAATTAGTATCTTACCTGTTGCAGCGGCTCTTTGAATGACCTACGTTTGAAAGAAACAAAGCTTTATTTTGATCAGAGTGACGAGCTAAAGCTAATAGTTCAAGAGAGGTCCAAACCAAAGTAGATCGCTGACGTCTTAAAATGTCTCGTGTGATCACAATTTTTTTTAAATCAGTTTTTCAAATAATCTGGCAGTTTTAGCAGGAAGTGCTTCATGCAGCACTAGGATAAATTATTGTGTTTTTATGAAGATCCTAAATAAATGGTACTTTCATGCAGAGAACGCAGTCTGAACCTAGTTTATGTCGACCTGACAAAGCCTCATGTGGTAGATGACCGACTGTTTGCACCAGAAATTACATTTCAGAGTGGTTTTCGTCACCACTCTTGTAATTTTGATCCACGCAGTTTTTTTAACCGCACTGTGTGCCTGTTTGTTGCCTTTTTCTGACTGCTGGCTGCATAAAAACCTGTTTTTATCCTCCTGTCTGTTGACTCAGCTCAACAAAAAAATTGTTACACAAAGTGTTCGGCCCACAGTCTGTCATATTCCTCCTCCTTGTCGTTTGTGAGGTTTCTCTGCCTGTATGTTTTCTAGAGATAACGAATCAGGAGAAAACATTGTGAAATGTCTTACACCTGAATTTCCAACCAACCACTCAATTTTAAACTGACTTAAAAATGACTGATTAAAGGGGACATGTCATAATTCAACAGTTTTAACTGTTAAATACATTTTGTTGTTTGTTTAGAGTTTCCGGGAATGCCAACATGTTGAATTTAGTTTCGCACGGTGCTGAGTGTTACGATTGCATCATATTTTTCAACGTTTCTCTGTTTTCTGGTGTTTTTAAAGAGACAGCCTCAAAATGAGTTGATAAGAGGCACACCTCAGAAAAACGGGTGAAAGAGGGGCTTGTGGAGTTACAATAAGGAGGAATTCAGACCAAAGCATATAAAGTTCCACTTTATATAGACCCCAACTTAATGATTTAAATGCAAAAAGGGGATTTAAAAGCATTATATTACATGTCTCCTTTAAGAATTTCAGGGTTTTTTTGTGTGTGTTTTTTATTAAATTTTTTTTTTACTTTTGCACTATAACAAAGTTCATCAATCCATTTTCGTGATATTTCCTTCATGGGTTGTGGGGATCTGGTGCCTATTTTAGCATTATTCTCAAGAATTTCAAAAATGAAATAATTCTAGAAAAAGATGTTTCTGTGCGGTGTTTTCTAATCTGCATGAAAATCTAACGAATTCAGTTTTTATTAAAGTGTCATGCACATTCCTGCCCAGCCCATACAGGCTTATTTGACACTAAATGGAAGCACATTTTTCAACACAAAACATTCACATCAACACACAGGAGACAATGCTGTTTGTATAACCACCCATGCCCTCTCTATTTTACCAACAAAAACACTTCCTTTTTTAAAAAAGCCAAATCAAAACATCACCCTCAAAAACCAAAATAAATCAGAGTTTTTACACTGGAATTTCTTTTTATATWATGATAAAACCTCTAAACAACTTGTAGGTATACAGACAAATAGACTTCTTGTAGGTAATGTGTGTTAATATTAGTTCAGTTGTTGGTTTTTAATGCATATTCGTGCATGTTTTTATTTTCAGATGACATCAACACACTTGTGTGCAGAACTCCACAGCAGCATAACAAGAATGTCAAGGTTTTTAAAAGTGCCCCTCCCCCAGGCGGCAACCATCAACTCAAAGCATCTTTTTTTATGACTCATATGAGTTTACTTGTTGAATGACCTGTTC